GTGAAGCGGTCTCTACCCCTCAGGCAGAGGGGATCCCCGAGAGCCTGCTCCTCTCTGCTGACCACGGCAGGGGCCGCTGCTCCCGTGGCAGGCCGAGGAAGACTTGGCTATGGGCCACAGCAAACCCTGGGCAGGCCCAGCCTCCGCTCCACACCACGGAGCCCCGAGTAAACCACACCATGAGTGTGGCCAGCATTCCTAGCTACTCTGCGTGGACCATCCCCCTGAAGAGTCACAATCACCACCACTTCTCTCTCTCTCTCTCTTTCTCGTCTCTTTTTGGAGAGGGAGGCTCAGAGAGGAGAAGTGACCTCACCCAAGGTCGCAGAAGCAGTGCCCAGCAGCCCACCTCATGACTCTGAGCCACAGTTAGGCCACCTTGGCCTCCTTCCCCCAGGGGCCTAGACCCCGGCTCTCAGCATGCAGCAGCCTGAGCTCACGAGGCTGGGTGGGCGGGGGTCTCAGAACAGCATCTAGGCAGGCGGGGAAGAACACAAGCTGCACGGCTGCTGTGTGGCATTGGGTCAACCGCTTCACCTCTCTGGGCCTCAAGGGCCTAACATGGTTAGGTCACAGCCCCTTCTTTCTCACATTGCCCTGTCCCACTGCTGTCCAGATCGGCCCCTCTCCTTTCAGAGCCAAGCCAATCCATTTCCCCAAACAACCCTGCCCGCCCCCACCTGCTTCTCCAAGGGAGGCATGGCACGGACAGTGCCGCCTACTCAGCACTTCTGGCTAGCCCAACGACAGTCACCTCACTCCCATCTCCAGCTGTCTCTGGCTCAGGGTCCTGCGGCCTGTGGGTGGATCCGTCCAGCTCACAACCCGCCTGGCCAAGTGGCCCAGGGGGCTGTATGAGGTCAGGGTCCCAGGCTCCTGTCCAGAGGGCAAGAGCAGCCAAGACCAAGGCCGGCCTGGTGCAGAATGAGCTGGGAGGGAGGCCAGCAGGGCCCCAGCAAGATGTCCAGGGAACCATTCAGCTGTGGCAAACAGGAGATGGCACCGAGACACAGGGCCAGGGCGGTGGTGAGAGGGCCTCACCACCTGGAGGTGGTGAGAGGGCCTCACCACCTGGAGGGAGTTCGAGGCCCCCCAGGGCTCTCCAGGGGCCCCTGTAGCCGGTGGGATGGAAACAGCCTCCCAGTTGCCGGCATCCAAGGCGGGAAGCAGGACAACAGCCACGGGCCAGAAGCGCCACCAGGCACCCGGGACCCCAGCGCCACCTGCCACAGCCTCCCCCAGGGCTCTGCCTAGCCCAGCAGCTTCCACTCGGGGCTCCAGGCTGAGCTCAGCCCCGGGTGTCCGGGGGCCCGGCAGAGCCAGAAGAGGGCTGCCCAGGGCTTCACACCTCTGCCCCCCGGGTAGAAGGGGCTTGAGGGACATCGTCCTCAGGAGCACTTCCGCGGGGTCCCGCGCTGGCCGAGCCGCTCCACACCTTCCCTCACCGGACACCCCCGGGGCCGCCTGGCTGGCCCCATGGCAGGCACTGGCCGAGCACCGCGGGGCTGGCACACCACACGTGCCCGCTCCCAGCCCCGGGCTCGGGAACCATAAAGCCACTGGCTGTGCTCCCTCTGAGCGCTGGCCAATCCAGACTGGGCCTGATAACTTGCTTTATCTTCTACAATCTACAAACAGCCGTAAAGCAAACTTAGGGAGCTCTCTTTGTGTACCTGACGCCAGAATTTCTTTATAAAGTTCCCATCAGGACTGGCTAGACCTCCCCCAAAAGTTGGGGTTTAAGAGTTGGGTGTTGGGGTGAGGGGCTGGGAGGGGGCAGGCAGGAGACCAGAGGAAAGAGCCAGCGTTTGTCCCGGGGGGGGGGGAGAGCACTGGCCTGGGGGGGCCCTTTCTCCCCCAGATCCTCCTCGAGTTTGGGGCGTGCGCAGCTCTGGGGCAGCCCCACCTCCCCACCAGAAGAGGAACAACTTGCAACCCGAGCCGCCAGGACCTACCTGGAGTCGGAGGCGACAGGGCTGAGGGCCCAGGGAGGCAACCGGGGGAAACCCGGAGGTAGGGGAGGAATGGGGTTCATCCCGCGGCGGGACAGCCTTGCAAACCCGGGCGCCACCCGCGGGGCGTGGGGCGCGCGGTGGCGCGACTTACCCGGTTGATCTCGGCCAGCCTCCGCTCCTGCCGGGCTTTGAGCAAACCGAAAGCCTTCCCTCCTGCCGAAGACAAAGACACGGCCGGGAAGCGGGGGCCTCCCGGGCCGCGCGCCCCCGCCGCGCCTGCTTCCCGCGCGCCGCGGACCCCGCCGTGCACCCCGCGCGCGCAGGTGGCGGCCGGGGCGTGGGGCAGCGGGAGAGCGCGAGGGGAAGCGGCGCCTACCTTGGAACCTGTTGCTGAGCGCAACCGACATGGTGAGCACCCGGCTCCCGCCGGCTGGGGCTGCGCGGCGGCGGCGGCGGCGAGGGGCGACGCGGAGGCGCGGGCGCCTTCTCGGAGATCCAACTGCGTGTGCGGCGGGCCGGAGGGCGGCCGGACACACCCCTCGCTCGGCTCCGGGCCCGCCTCCCCCTCCACTCCCCTCCCTCCCCTCCGCCTCCCGGGCCGCGGCATCAAAGCGGCTATTATGCGGGACGCCGAGCCCGTTGGCGGCCCCTCTGCTGGAGAACGCGGAAAATGCACGGCGGACGCGAGTCCCTTCCCGGATCCGAGCCCCTGAAACCAGAGGGTCGATCTTAGAGAGAGGCCTCCAGGGGACAGTCTGAGGGGTCTAATGGGGCCCCGGCGGCCGGGGGCCAGCGTTGCCCCGCGCACGGGGTCCACTTCGGACTCCTGGGCACTCTTAGTTGGAGCGGATTCGCGTCTTGCACGAGAAATCCATTTCTTGGGCACTCGCCTACACCGACTCTGCACCAGTCATTTGCATCCTCAAAGCTGTGAACCAGGACTCAGTATGGGACAGCAAAGTCAAGAAGCTGGGGCCCATCACTCCAGGGAGAGTCGGGGGGGCTCAGGGCCCGGGGTGGGGACTTGCAGCTGGGGGCATCTGAAGTCTGGTGTCCAAACCCCGACAGTCTGAGAGCAAAAGGGGCGCTCCTGACGGTGACGCTAGGCCACAGACATCAGCAGGGACTGCCCTGGGCCAACAGGTGCCAGGTCACCGGTCCCGCACTCACCACACTCACCGGAGTGTGTCTCTGGGGGTGAGATCTGGAAGTCCCCCACCCGCCTCCATTCTGACCTCTAGGAGCCAGACCTGGGACCAGCTGACCATCTCCCCGCACCCCGGGGTTGCTGCCAGGGATGGAAGTGGTCAGGCTGTCCCCATGGAGGGGCTGGGCAGAATGGCATGGGGCCGACGTCAGTGCCGCCCGTTCAGGGGACAGGCCAGTGCCTGTTACAGGTTACTCCCCTCTGCCCATTCCCACCTAGGGTTTGGAGGTGGCCAGGCAAGATCTGAGCTGTGGTCCCCCAGCCTGCAGGAGGCAAGAGCTTCTAGCCAGCCGGGGCTGTTGTAACGTTGATTACTCTCCAGGGTGCTTTACTTGATTACTCTCCAGGGTGCTTTACGCTGGGAGTAAAGTCTTGGAGGGGCGGGCGAGGTCAGGAGTTACAAGCCTTGGCTGACGGGCTGTGTTCCATCCGGAGGCCAGAGAAGGAAGCTGTGGTTCCAGGTCCAGGCTCAGGTCCTGTTACCCTGGCCACTTGGGCGGGCTGGCCCCCGTCAGCCATCCTGCAGGGCAGGGGCCACCCTCCTTCCACTGCTCAGCTGCTGGGCTACATGGCAAGCCAGATGTTCAACAGCTGCCAGAGTCCACCGGCCGCAGCCCCACCTCCGGGGGCGGAGCGCGGCTCTGCCTACAGCAGGCGGGTTGGGGCCACATGGGCCACGCGATGTCAGGCCTGAGGTATGTCACTGGAATGGACAGGGCCTGTTCTGCCGCCCGGCAGGGATGCTGGGACTGGGCTGTGCTGAGCCCCACGCGCAGGCGTCACCACAGCTGTGTGAGAGAAGCCGGGTGGAGGCAGGCGCCAGACCCTGTCCTGAGGTCTTCGAAGACCCCCACCCCCACCCCAGCATCTCCTACACCGACCCCAGTCACCAAACTGACCTAGGGGCAGCAGCTCCCCATCGTCAGCCTCTCCACCTCCCATGCTGGCAGGCAACAAGTCAGGCACTCCACAGCCCCGTCTAGGGTCTCTGGAGCAGCACACTGCTGTCCTCTCACTGCGGGTCTTGGATCCGTTATCCCGGACAGGGGGTTGGGGAACCTGGAAAGCTGGAATCAGTGCAGAGCTTCTAGGTTGTCTCCTGGGAGCAGCTGACCTGATGACGTAAGCCCAGCTGCATTTGGGGGACGGGGGGTGGGGGCAGCAGGAGTGTCCTCCTTCCACCCAGCACGAGCCAAGCCAAGCAAGCCACTGAGCAAACGAGGGGAGGAGGCGAAGCGGAGACCACGGGGAAGGCGAGGAAGCCAGAGGGGAGACGCCCCATCCTGGCAGCCTCGGGCCCCGGCTGCTGGCCATCTCCGAGGCCCGGCGGCCTCTCCCAGTCCAGGGTTCCAAGAGTCCCTCCCAGCCAGCTTCATGGGGCTTAGGCCGTTATGGCCAAGAGCCCCGACCATGTACTCCATAATCCCACCCACTGGCCCATGCTGGCCAGACTCCCACCCTTCAACCCCAGACTGCTGCCCACCCTACTGGGTGGAACGTCCCCCACTCCAAAGCCCTCCTCCTCCTCGCAGGACACTCACTCGCTTTTGAGTTCATTGTTTCTTGTTTCAGTATCTCTAGCCTGAACCCGAGGTCGGCTGGGGGTCTATCAGTACCCCCCAAGTTCCTCTAACCCCTACACTGCCCAATGAATCCCAACAAGAAGGGGGTGCCTGTGCTCACAGGACCCCAGCAAAGCCCCCCAATGGCAAAGCTGTGGGCTTAGCTTTTGCCCACCACTGTGTGGGAGAGGGACCCCCGGATGTCTCCCCCGCCCACTCACTGGGCACCCACCTGGCCGCCCACCAGCAAGGCAGGATCAAACGCACACCACCTGGCTTGGTGAAGGGCCTTTATTTCCGTGTTAAACAGAAGCCCGTGACAGCGGCAGGGGGAGCCGTGGGAAGGGGCTGGACCCGCGGGGGCGCCTGCCTTCCTGGTGCCAAGGCCCCGCTGTCTGCTGGGAGAGGACCCTGGAAAGGGAGGGGCCGGGCCAGGAGGAAATGCCTGGGACGCCTGGGCGGGGGCCTGGCCGCAGGAGGATTCCCGTGCAGGACAGCCGCCCTTCCAACACCGCCGTGGCCTCCCTCGTGACAGGTGGGGCTGCAGGGCTGGTTCAGCAAGTGTCAATCAAGGGTCAGCGGGGTCAGTGGGGCACACACGTGCTCCTGGAGGCCTGTGAGTCCCCTGGGGCCTGGCTCTTCGGGCGGGTCACAGGCTGAAAGGACAGGGCGCAGTGCAGGTGACTTCTTCAGTGGCTCTGCTGGGGCCTTCCAAGACAATAACAGCCCTGCAGGGAGGGGTGGGACCCCTGGGCCTCCAGCCCTCCTAGGACCTGCCTGTCTTGTCTTCCCGGGTCCCGCTGCTGTGTGAGCTGCTGCCGACGGGGGAGGGGCTGTGGCAGGACAGAGGCCTGCCATGGGACTAGCGGCTCCAGCTGCTGCTGAGCCCTCCTCAGCGCTGTGAGGCCGGCCCCATCAGCTTCCCCAGGTGCCCGCCCTGCTCTGGGGGCCTGCTCTCCGGGTGTGCACTGCAGGAATTTAGTAGAGCCCTCCCAAGCATCCAGGGGGCCTAGTGCGTGGCTGGCTCTGAACCCCTCGGGGGACGGTCACATGCGTGCATGCACGGAGCGACTGGAACATATGTGTGCGTCCTACAGACATGCGCTCACATGTGGCTGTGAGCGGGAACGTGTATGTTAGGGCCCTGGGGTGGGGGTGCACTGAGAGCTGTGCACGCTCTCACTCCTGCTAGCAGGCAGGGAGGCTCGGCATTCTGGGAAGGGAGCGTGAGCATCACACGCAGGTTCCACGCCTGTGGGGAGGCGGTGTGCACATCCCGGGCGGTGCACACCGGGGGAAGTGTGCCGGGGCCTGGTCTCACTGCAGGCTGGCGCAGCTCTCGGGCAGGCTGAGCAGGATGGCCTCCAAGTTCTGCTTGTCAGCGCGGGCCTCGGCCAGGTCCTTCTCGAAGCCCCGGATCTCCAGTGCCTGCTGCTCCGACTCCTCTTGCAACAGCCGAAGTTTCCTCTGTAGTGCCCCCGGCGCGCCCAGCTGCAGCCTCAGGCGTTCCAGGGCCTGCTGGGTCTCGTTCAGGGCCTGGGCTGGGGTGCTATGGGTGTCCAGCGACCCTGCGGGGTTGGGGGAGGGCAGACAGCCTCAGCAGGAGCCAGCTCAGCCCCCAGCTCAAATCTCCAGGATTCCGACTGCCCACCACCCACCAGGGGAAGAGAAAGGCCAGGGCACTGTGTGGGGAGGTTGGGGTGGGGGCCCAGGCAGCCCCTCGGGCTCAGGTGCAGCCACGAGGACTTTCCCCACCGCGGTGACCAGGCGCTCTGGGGGCACCGAAGTTTATTCAAAGGGGACTCACTGGGATGGGCACTGCGAACAGAGCTAGGTGCCACCGGGGCGTCTGCTTCCCCACAGGAGTACCGGGGCGAAAGTCACATTTCGAGTCCGATCTCTTTTTAAGCGTGCGCTGGGGAGGCGCGGGTGAGGGCTCAGGTCTGGGGTTCCCTGCCACCCATGTGGGAGATGCCAGTGGGGTTCACGAGTGCTGCTTTGGCCCCTCCAAACGCCCGGGGCATTTGGGGGGACCCAGGAGTTGGGACTTCTTAGTTTTCTCTCAACATAAAAAAACTCAAAGTGGACTCACTCCTAGGCACACCCCCCCCCCCCCCCGCCTTGCCCAGGGACCTGAGGGTGAGGACCAGAGACCAAGATGGGAAGCCGTGGAAGGGTGAACAGCGCCCAGCCCTGGGGTCTCCTTACCCAGGCCAGCAAGGAGCTCTGACAGGGCCCTGATGTCCTCCTCCAGCGAGAGGCGTGACTCCCGGATGTGCCGCTCCATCTCGCTCAGCCCGGCACCTGCCTGTGTGGCAGAGGGGGGCGGCTTGAGCAGCTCCCTCCCGGCTGCGCGGGACAGGAGGGCATGGGACGGGGGCTCGGCTCACTGACCTGCTCAGCTTCCTGCAGCTCCCGTCTGCGTGCTGCCGAGGTCAGCACCTGCTGGGTCGCCTGTCGGAGCGTGGCCTGCGTCTGGCTGGCGAGCCGGCTGGCATGGCGCTGGCCCTGTTTCCCTTCCCGCAGCAAGGCCTTGGCGAGCTGCGGGGTGGGTGGCGGCAGGGCGGAGGGCAAGAGTGAGCGAGTCCTTTTGCAGGTAAAGGACTCCCATGGCCAGAAGGCCACCTCCCACTTCGCACATCACATTGCTCGCTCATTCACTCTGCGAACGTGCACTGAATGCAGACAGGGAGCTGGGTGCCATGCAAGAAAGTCCAACAGGGACCATGAGCGACAAAGGTGGGGGTGGGGGGAGTGACACCACCTGGTTAGAATTTGGCCCAGGTTAAAGAAAAGCAGTTGTAGGCAGCAGAGCCAAGCAGGCCCAGGTGTGAGTCCTGCTTATGTGACTCCACCCCTGCACCTGGCCCGGCCTTGCAGTCTTCCGCTGCACTACAGGGAGTGCAGGGGTTAGCAGGGTCACCGATGTGAGGCTCCCAGGTTGAACCAGGGGTCCACTGAGCAACTGGTAAATGTGGAGCCCTAGCACTGGACACGGGAGAGGGGCGGATCTGCAGGGGCAGCGTTTAACCTAAAGAGGGGCAGGGGACAGCTCTCAGCCCCACAGCAGGGAAGCCAATGCCTTCAGGGCCATGGCTCTGACCTTGGCGTTTTCTTTGGCCAACAGCTCGGCTTCTCGGCCCTTCTTCTTGGAGGTAGAGGAGACAGACGCCGCGTTCCCCAGCACCCTCTCCACCTGCTTGGTCTTCTTTGTCACGTCGGCAAGGAGCCTGGCCCTGACCATGCCTGCCTTCCTCTGCAGTGCAGCCTGGTCCTGGGGCCGAGGGAAGCGTGGCCGTGTCCCTGCAAACCCGGCCGGGGCTGTGTCAGGACGCCGGGGCTCGTGCCGCGAGAGCCTGCCAGATGTTCACTGACCAGCCCCAGGCCCTTGGACAACGGAAGTGGGGATTTTAAGTGGGGATCTGCATGAGATCTTATGGGAAAAACCCGCGCAACCCACTCAGCTCTGCACGTCGATGTTTTCCCTTTTCCCAGCAAGCTTTGGGACTGTGCATGGTGACAAACAGGTCAACCGTGAGACCGTTCCAGCGGAAGACCAGGAGCCACACGTCACCACGGGGTAGGAAGGGAAGCAGAGTGAGATGCACCGGCCATTAGGATAATGGACTGCCGGAGCAGAATGCTCTATTCACCTCCGAGCCCCGAGCAGCCAAGACAGAAAGGGAAACGCTGGGGGTCGGCGCTGTGGCACGGTAGGCTGGTCCTCCACCTGCAGCGCCAGCATCCCATATGGGCACCAGTTCTAGTCCTGGCCTCTCCTCTTCTGATCCAGCTCCCTGCTAACAGCCTGGGACAGCAGTGGAAGATGGCCCAAGTGCGTGGGTCCCTGCACCTGTGGGGGAGGCTGGAGGAGGCTCCTGGCTTCAGATCAGCTTAGCTCTGGCCGTTTCAGTCATTTGGGGAGTGAGCCAATGGATGGAAGACCTTTCTCTCTCTGTCTCTCCTTTTTACTGTCTGTAACTCTACCTCTCAAATAAATAAATAAAAATATTTTTAAAAATGTAAAAAAGGGAAACGTTACAGATCTTACAGGTTTCATTATCTAAGAAAGTAGATCCACTTGGTAAAGAAAGAGACCCCTCAAGCAAAATTCCAAGAGAAATTTATCATGAGGAGGAAAGTCGGCGTTTAAGTAGGGTCGAGCCTTCCAATCTTCAGAGCCGTAATAGTACAGAATCGTTCCATCCAGAAGTCCCATTTCGTTTGCTTTTTAAAAAAATTAAATTATTTGGCCGGCGCCGCGGCTCACTAGGCTAATCCTCCGCCTAGCGGCGCCGGCACACCGGGTTCTAGTCCCGGACGGGGCGCCGGATTCTGTCCCGGTTGCCCCTCTTCCAGGCCAGCCCTCTGCTGTGGCCCAGGAGTGCAGTGGAGGATGGCCCAAGTGCTTGGGCCCTGCACCCCATGGGAGACCAGGAAAAAGCACCTGGCTCCTGGCTCCTGCCATCGGATCAGCGCGGTGCGCCGGCCGCAGCGCGCCGGCCGCGGCGGCCATTGGAGGGTGAACCAACGGCAAAAGGAAGACCTTTCTCTCTGTCTCTCTCTCTCACTGTCCACTCTGCCTGTCAAAAAAAAAAAAAAAAATTAAATTATTTAACAGATAGAGTTAGACAGTGAGAGAGAGAGACAGAGAGAAAGGTCTTCCTTCCGTTGGTTCACTCCCCTAATGGTTGCTACCGCTGGAGCTGCGCCAATCCGAAGCCAGGAGCCAGGTGTTTCTCCTGGTCTCCCATGTGGGTGCAGGGCCCAAGCACCTGGGCCATCCTGCACTGCACTCCCTGGCCACAGCAGAGAGCTGGACTGGAAGAGGAGCAACCAGGACTAGAACCCGGGGCCCATATGGGATGCCGGCGACGCAGGTGGAGGATTAGCCAAGTGAGCCACGGTGCTGGCCTCTCATTTGCTTCTCATGTATGAACTTGGTGTTTCTCACAGTGCATCCTGGGCAGGCCTAACCCTACACATAGGGTGATCATACATGTTAGGGAGAGAGGTCAATTTAAGTTTAAATAAAGGGCACCAGGCTTCTTCATTACAAGACCTCTCGGGGCCTTTGATCCTCTGATCTGTGCTCCCTAAGCCTCAAGAGGATGCTACAGTGTGAGACGATCCCTAAACCTACTGGAACACAGACCTTCTCCTGTTGGAACCCAAGGCCACGCCTGGGGAAGGCTCCCTGCACAGGCCCCGAGGGGCAGGAGGGTTGAAGGATGGGGAAAGAGCCTGGGGCTACAGGTTGGCCCTTGTGCAGATCGCAGAGCAGCAACAGGGAGGCATGCTTCCTTCTGCCACGGGCAAGAGGTGTCCTGTCCTCAGAACCATTCAACAACCAGGTGGGGGAGGGTCACATACAAGGCGGCGAGCGCTCCATGGCTGGAGGCAGGCAGGCAGGCGTCCTGCTGACGTGTGGTCTGCAGCAATGACCCTGAAACCCTGAGGGTCCATCATCACACAGCACTGAGCTTACTCCCCCTAAACACAGCCACGCCCCATCCAGCGGGTGACCAAGGCTTCAGGCCACTGAGAGAGACTCAAAGAACAGCAGGCCCACAGCAGCCCGCCCTCTGGACCCCTGGACCTAGGGTTGCGCTACACCTGCCCCAGGCAGTGGGCAGGGCTGGGGAGGGGAGCTACGGAGAGAGCCAAGGCCGGGGGCCGGCAGAGACCTGACTAATGGTCTCGGGCCCATGAGACGCCTGTGGCTCAGGGTGGGTCACTGCCTTACCTGGCCGGTTGGATAGGAGCCACAGCTGGGGGGAGGGACATCACAGAAGCCCACTGCACAGGGAGCACAGAGCTGAGGAACTAACACCAGCTGGCTTCCACTCCAGCTCAGCTCTTGACCAGGGATAGGCAGCCGTCCCTGTCCCTACTCTACCCATCTGTAAAATGGGGGCACCGAGCCTCATTTTCCTGAAGCTCAAAAAAGACCTGGGGGTGGGCAGTTGCGATGCCTGCAGCTCACAGCAGGGTGCCTGGGTCTGGGTCGTGGCTCTGCTCCTGCCTCCAGCTTCCTGTTGGAAGGCAGCAGGAGACGGCTCAAGTTCCTGCCACCCACGTGGGAGACCTGCACTGGGTTCCTGGCTCCCAGCTTCACCTGGCCCATCCCCAGCTGTTGCAGGTATCTGGGGAGTGAACCAGCAGATAGGGGATATCTGTTTCTCTGCTTTTCAAATAAATATAATAAATAAAAAATTTTAAAGATTTATTTATTTGAAATGCAGAGTTACAGAGAAAGAGGGAAAAATTGAGAGATCTTCCATCTGCTGGTTCACTCCCCAGATGGCCTCAACAGCAGGGGCTGTGCCAGGCCAGAGCCAGGAGCCAGGAGCTTCTTCCAGGTCTCCCATGCGGGTGCAGGGGCCCAAGTCCTTGGGCATCTTCCGCTGCTTTCCCAGGCCACAGCAGAGAGCTGGATAGGAAGTGGAGCAGCCAAGACTCAAACCAGTACCCATACGGATGCTGGCATTGCAGATGGTGGCTTAAACTATTGCACCACAATGCCAGCCCCCAATAAATAAAAAAAGACCTGAATCAGGGACTGACATCAAGGCACAGCAGGTTAAGCCACCACCTGTGATGCCAGGATATCCCATATGGGCACCAGTTCAAAACTCAGCTGCTCCACTTCTGATTCACCTCCCTGCTAATGGCCTGGGAAAGTAGTGGAAGATGGCCCAAGTCCTTTGGCCCCTATGACCCATGTGGAAGACCTGGATGGAGTTTCAGGCTCTTAGCTTTGGCTTGGCCAAGCCCTGGCCATTGTGACCATCTAGGAAGTGAACCAGCAGAGGAAAGATCTCTCTCTCTCTCTCTCTCTCTCTCTCTCTCTCTAACTTTCTGCCTTTTAAATAAACAAATATCGGGGGGGGGGGGCCTGGATTGGCATCAACCCACATCCCTCCTTTTTTTAAAACTTTCATTTACTTATTTTATTTGTTTTTAAAAAAGATTTTATTTACTTGAAAGGCAGAGTTACAGAGGCAGAGAGAGATGTCTTCCATCCACTGGTTCACTCCCCAAATGGCTGCAATAGGCAGAGCTGAGCCGATCTGAAGCCAGGTGCCAGGAGCTTCTTCTGGGTCTCCCACGTGGGTGCAGGGGCCCTAGGACTCCAGCCTTCCTCCACTGCTTTCCCAGGACATAGCAGAGGGCTGGACTGGAAGTGGAGCAGCCGGGACTCGAACCTGCACCCATGTGGGATGCCGGCACTGAAGGCGGTGCTTTACCCTCTACACCACAGCTCTGTCCCTCATATATTTTATTTCAAAGACAGTTTCTCGCTCGCTCGCTCTCTTTCTGTGTGTGGAGAGAAAGAGAGCGAGCAAGTGAGCGAGACAGAAGGAGATCTTGTATCTAATAATTCATCCCCCAAATGCCCCAACAGCCAGGGCTGGGCCAGGCCAAAGCCAGGAGCCTGGAACTCCACCCAAATCTCCCATGTGGGTGGTGGGACTCAAGTACTCGCCCATCATCTGCCGCCTCCAAAGGTGTGCACCAGGGAGCAGCTGGATCAGACGTGGAGAAGCCGGGACTTGAGCAGGCTTCTGACATAGGATGTGGGGATCACCCCCCATGCTCACCCACCCACACCCCCTTTTTTTTTATTTGACAGGTAGAATTATAGACAGTGAGAGAGAGACAGAGAAAGGTCTTCCTTCTGTTGGTTCACTCCCCTAATGGTTGCTACAGCCGGCGCTGCACTAATCTGAAGCCCGGAGCCAGGTGCTTCCTCCCTGTCTCCCATGGGGTGCAGGGCCCAAGCACTTGGGCCATCCTCCACTGCACTCCCGGGCCACAGCAGAGAGCTGGACTGGAAGAGGAGCAACCAGGACTAGTACCTGGCGCCCCAACCGGGACTAGGACCCGGGGTGCTGGCGCCATAGGCGCAGGTGGAGGATTAGCCTAGTGAGCCATGGCGCCGGCCTTTTTTTTTATTTTATTTTTTCTACAGGTAGTTATAGACAGTGAGAGAGAGAGAGACAGAGAGAAAGGTCTTCCTTTTCCGTTGGTTCACCCCCTAAATGGCCGCTATGGCCGGCGTGCTGCGGCCGGTGCGCCACACCAATCCGAAGCCAGGAGCCAGGTGCTTCTCCTGGTCTCCCATGCGGGTGCAGGGCCCAAGCACTTGGGCCATCCTCCACTGCACTCCTGGGCCACAGCAGAGAGCTGGACAGGAAGAGGAGCAACCGGGACTAGAACCCGGGGCCCATATGGGATGCAGGCACCGCAGACAGAGAATTAACCAAGTGAGCCACGGCGCTAGCCCCACACCCCTTCTAAAGAGAAACCCACAGCCCTACTCAGCGCCACAGCAGGGTAGCCTGCTGGGCCCTGGCCAGGGTGTGCCAGGCTAGGGGCTGCAGATTCTCTTCCCACCTGGTCCTGAGCTCTGCCAATGGCCTCCAGACACCAGGGGGTGGAGGGGACGGCCAGGGGCCTGTGAGTGGTGTGTGACACGGGCAGAGACGAGCAGCCAGGGGAGGTCGGGAAGTGGGGGGAGTAGCCGCCTTGGCTAGAGCCCACCTGGCTGCCTCTGTGCCCAGCAGCCAGGCCTGCCTGGCTGAGGCGGGAGCACTCGTGCACCACAGAGCCCAGAGCTCAGCGGGACACACGTACCTTCTAGGTCGGCCAGCAGGGTCCTGGCTCCCATGACAGTCACTGTGGCAGCCTGGACAGATGAGGAAGCCCGGGTCAGGGCGGCTGTGGCCTCCTGGCGCAGCTGCAAAGGAAGGGAGAGGTTGGGCAGCTGGCCTGACAGGTGCACAGCCCAGACGTGAGTCAGGCAGGCACACGCACACGGGGCCCTAAGACATCGCCGTGACTCTGCCGCTTAGTAATGCTACTCAGCAGGAGCACGTGCCCGGCTCATGCTACAAATGTTAAACCCTGGACGCCTCCCAGTAGCTCTGAGCCACAGCAGCTCAGAGGAAGAGCGCTAAAGGGGAGACGGACAAGCGGACGCTCACGGTCAGAATGCGGCTGCGTGTCGGCCGCTGTCAATCACAAGTTGGCAGTGTCTCCCCTCCGGCCACTGAACAGGACTGGGTACTTAAAGGATGCCCAAGATGTGGCTCATCCCACAGTGGGATGTTACCCAACCACGCTGCAGCACAGGGGAGCGAGGCTCAGAAGCACGGCGCTGAGGGAGGGCGGCCAGATACGAGTCATGCGAGCTCATTTTTGTGAAACTTTCAGAGAGCGGACAGGTGGTTGCCTGGGGCTGGGGGGAGGGGGAACGGCTGTGGAATGACACAGGCACGTGACAACCGCACAACGCGGGGAAGGCACTGAGTGCCGCTCTTAAGACGGCTCGGGGTACGTAACGTGGATCTCAGTGCCGTGACAATATGAGAAGTGGACAAACCATACGGGTTTGAGAGCCCCCAGATGCTGTCTCAGTCTCGCTCTGCAGGCTCAGCAGGGTGGGCAGGAGGAAGAGGGGGTGGGAGCAGCGTGGGGGGGTGCAGCCGTGACTCTCGGAGGTCGCCTCTCTTCCTGGCGTCCTGGCCCAGGACGAGGGCGCTGGGGCACGGCCGTATCAGTGCCGCGGGGGCGCCAGCACAGCACAGCTCCCCAGTCTGTGGTCTGGCAAAACCACAACCTGGAGGAAATCTGTGTGATGGGCACGTGGGGATGTGGATTCTTGGGGCTCTCTTGCACCCTATCAGTGAGTCTAGTATTATTTCCAAACCAACTTCTTTTTTTTTTTATTTTTATTTTTTTAACAGGCAGAGTGGACAGTGAGAGAGAAAGAGACAGAGAGAAAGGTCTTCCCTTGCTGTTGGTTCACCCTCCAATGGCCGCTGCGGCCGGCGCACCGCACTGATCCGATGGCAGGAGCCGCCAGGTACTTATCCTGGTCTCCCATGGGGTGCAGGGCCCAAGCACTTGGGCCATCCTCCACTGCACTCCCTGGCCACAGCAGAGAGCTGGCCTGGAAGAGGGGCAACCGGGACAGAATCCGGCGCCCCGACCGGGACTAGAACCCGGAGTGCCAGCGCCACAAGGTGGAAGATTAGCCTAGTGAGCTGCAGCGCCAGTCCAAACGAAGTTCTTTTTAAAAACTACTTTACAAGGCTCTTTTACACTTGAATGGGTTGGAAACCACAAGATCCAGCTAAATTCACCCTGTAATTCTTCTAGTATTCCCTGACCTTTGAATGTCATCTCCCCTTCGAGATCGTAAATGCCAAACTCGGGTTAAGTGGCTGAGTCCCCACGGCTGCTCAGATCAGTCCTCGCTGAATCTCTGGTGAAGATGCTGATGGAGGAACAAGACCCATCCCGGCTGTAACTGACGCCGAGGAAGGCAGCGGAGCTGTCGCCTGCCTGTCCCCCGGCCCCCATCTGTATTCTCTTCTGGGAAACCAGGGTCCCCAGCCTCGGCTCGTGCAGTCTCTGAGAACATGTGGGGCTTGGAGGTGGCGTGAGAGAGCGGAAAAGAACTACATCCTGGTGCCGGGGTTGTGACCCAGAGGCCTGCAGCATGGCCGTTCCTTATGGGCGCCAGTTCGAGCCCCAGCTGCTCAACTTCCCATCCGGCTCCATGCAACTGCACCTGGGAAGGTAGCAGGGCTGGCTCCTGAAACCACGTGGGAGACCCGGCTGGAGTCCCAGGCTCCTGGTTTCAGCCCGACCCAGCCCCAGCCATAGCCATTTGACCAGCAGAGGAAGAAAGAGTGTGTGTGTGTATGTGTGTGTGTGTCCCTCTCACTCTGCAACTCTGCCTTATCATACCAAATAAATAAAGTGAGAAATTTAAAACTGCTGCTTCCTGTCTGCTCTCCCCGCTCCAGCAACCCCCGAGCCCAGATCACCTGCAGGGCAGCCCTGGCTTCCGCAGGTGCCCTGCTCCAGAGGACAAGAGCTGACCTGCACGAGGGGCTCCGTCTTCTGCAGCGTGGCTAGGGCAGTGGCCCGGAGGGCTCGGGTGGCCTTGGTGGCCATGCGTTCTCTCGATGCAACCGTCTTCTCCAGCGACCCCGCTTTCCGGCTCAGGTCCCTGGCCTGGGATTTCTGAGGCTGCAGGGAGATGGGGAGGGGGCAGATCCCCTATTCAGAGAGAAGCACTGGGCGGGGCTGAGGCTGGGGGCCAGCTCCTGGCTGCTGGCCTGGACCCCAAGCCTTGTGCCCCTGCAAACCTGGTGGCCTCCATGCTGTCCTAAGAGACCCCTCCCCAGGTCCATGGTCCTGCAGCTGAAACCCTGGGGCTGGGTTGCTTCAGAAGACAGAATCTTTTGGGCTGAAGCAGAATTGTGTGGGTACCACACAGCATCCAGTTCCCTCGGTGGCAGGAGGGGCTTCCAAAAGCTCAGGGCAAATGCGTGTTGTGATACCAAAAATGGTTGGCACCAGAATAGACGTATCTTTCCATCTGATGTCCTATTAACTTTCTGAAGCCCCTTCATTACCTGGGCCTGCAGCTGCGATGTCACCAACAAACGTTGGCCGGGCCCTGACGCTGCCAGGCCGGCCAGGGGATTATCTCATTTGAATCGACTGCCACAATCGAGCCACGTCTCCTACGTGTGCTGGGCCCCACTGGTCTCCCCAGCTGCTAGGGCCCCCACCCCCACCCCCAAGGTCGGCCCAGCTGACCCGTGATCCAGGGGCAGCCAGTGAGGCCAGACGCGGGGCTACATCTGCGCCAACTTGCTGCACGGCGGCCAGCACCCTCCTAGCTTCGGGCAATGCTTCTGCCACAGCTGTGCCCAACGCTTTCGGGGCCTCCTGGGCCTCCTGGTACCTGAGAGCAGACAGAGGCCAGGACGGCCGTGAAGTAGGGCACCCACGGGCACCTGGAGCCTCTCCCACCTGTCCTGGCAGAGTCGCATGGGTCCTGGCGGCCGGCCTCAGAAAGCAGCCGCTACCCAGAGACTTCCGAACGAAGCAGAAAGGCACCCAAGGGAGCTGGTTCTCTGTCCCAGACCCGCCCCTGCTGGGTGTCCACCGCAGGACCACAGGTTTTGCCGACGCTGGGAAGGAGAGAAATGCCAGGAGACGTGGGGAACACAGGGGCCCAGGCCCTGTTCTTGGCTTGGTTGTGCCCTTGCTGGTGGCCTTGAGCCTATGGCTCTCCACTAGGACACAGAGACCCTGGAGCTGCAGGGTTGCTGTGGGCTCTTAGCTCAGACGGCCCACGGCTTGGTCATCAACCAATCAGAATGGTTTCCTGAGCTGGCCGGTTGCCTGGTGCCTGTTCTGCCCAGGCCTCCCCGACTATGGGCACCGCTGGGGTGGAGACCGCTGGCTTCCTTCCTGCCCCTCACTCTGCTCCGGCAGCCGGCGGCCTTGCCCCCAGGACCGGTCATGTGACCTCACTCCAGCCATGCAACGGGCCCAGGGCTGGGCACCCAGTCCAAACTGAGCCATTCAGATTCTCTCATTTGGAGAGGTTAGCGTGGAGCTCGGCAAGGTGCTGGTGGGTCCTGCACTGGCCCTGGAGCTGAGAGGACAGAGGCAGAGGAGGCAGCTGCCCTAACTGGGGGCAGGGTGGGGTACCCGGGAGCTGCAGGGGAAGACAGAGGTTCTTGCTCTGGGCCGAGCAGTGCCCCCGACCCCCTCCCCCTCACGAGCCACTTCCTGTAATTAACCCCTGGGCGGGCCCACTCCAAGCCGGATCATGCAGACCCCCATGTCCTGACCGACCACCCAGAACGGCAGGGCTTGGGGAAGCAGTCCTGGAGTCAGCAGCCTCTGGCCAGGGCCCCTGAGCTCCAGGAAGCCAGCTCCACGTTCCTATGTGCACCTGCAGAGGCCTCACCTGTCCTCCAGCTCCCGCTGGGTCTCCAGGGCCAACCTCCTGTCCACCAGACTCGAGAGAAGCACGTAACTGGCGTTGGAGGCCAGGAGGGCCCTCCGAGCAGCAGCTTTGATCTTGGAGGCAGTGTCTCTGTGGCTGCGTGGAAACAACACCCCCAGACCGTCACCCAGGGCCCACACGGACAGGGCAGGGGCTTGAGTCCAAACCCACACGCCCGGCCACCTGGGCTGCTCGCCGCCCGGGAGGACAGCCACAGTCAGGATCCCTCTCCTGCTTCTGCCTAGGGAACCCTGACACCCCTGTTCCTGGGGTTTCTAGTGTAAGCTGTTGTCCTGGCCTCTCAGTGTGCGTTATAGTGCATGGAATTTCCATGGACGTTATTTTTTTTTTTTTTTTTTTGACAGGCAGAGTGGACAGTGAGAGAGAGAGACAGAGAGAAAGGTCTTCCTTTGCCGTTGGGTCACCCTCCAATGGCCGCCGCGGCCAGCGCGCCGCGCTGATCCGATGGCAGGAGCCAGGAGCCAGGTGCTTTTCCTGGTCTCCCATGGGGTGCAGGACCCAAGCACCTGGGCCATCCTGCACTGCACTCCCGGGCCACAGCAGAGGGCTGGCCTGGAAGAGGGGCAACCGGGACAGAATCCGGCGCCCCGACCGGGACTAGAACCCGGTGTGCCGGCGCCGCTAGGCGGAGGATTAGCCTAGTGAGCTGCGGCGCCGGCCCATGGACGTTATTTTAAGGTTAGTTATTCATGGTTGTCAGAAGCCTATTTTTAAAGCAGAAGAAAAAAAAAAACCTCCTTCTTTTCTCTCATTTCACCTTTCTTTGTTGATTACTAATCACCTTAGATGTTGTTGCTAGTGGATGTATGGTAGATGCATTGAAGCTTTTCTGATAATTATTACATGATTTAAGACAATATATATTTAAAATAAATATATACAGTAAATGTATTGAGCCATGTTAACCTGCCAATGAGATCTGTGAAAAAGTAATGGCCTCATTTTTCCATTTTTAATTTCTTTTACCTTTTTGTGAAGCGGCTATATGTGGCATACATGTATTTAAAAAAAAAAATAGGTGTAGAGTGGTTTTTTTTTACACTTTTAACTTAGCATGAGGTGTTGAACTATTACCATAGATCAAGTTTGTCTTCTACACTAAGATGTGAGGAAATTGTGATTTATTCTCTCCACCACAATTGAATTACACATTTATGATCTAATATCATTTTGAAACACTGCAGTTTACCATGGGACACTGTATATATTTCTTGCCATAATGGTAAATGACTGATTGATATATTTAAGAGTTAATAAATTTGTGATTTCTGCTGAAAAAAAAGTCACCCTGACGTGCACAGCACGGAAGAGAGAGGGCAAGACAGCCCGGCTTTGCCACTGCCCTGTCACAGTGTCCTTCAGCTCCCGTTTCCTCATCCGGAAAAGGAGTTCCAGTCCTCAGCACAAACCAAAGCGGAAAACGCTGCAGATCCTGTGTCCTCAACATCTTCAGCCGATTTTTCTTTTTTTATATAAGATTTATTTAGAGAAAGGGACAGAAAGAGAGAGGGAGAGACAGAGAGAGAGAGAGAGGTCTTCCCTCTGCTGGTTCACTCCCCAAGTGGCCACAACAGCCAGGCTGGAGCCAGGAGCGAGGAGCTCCATCCAGGTCTCCCACGTGCGTGCAGGGGCCCAAGCTGTTGGGCATCTTCCGCTGCTTTCCCAGGCCACAGCAGGGAACTGGATCGGGAAGTGGAGCAGTCCAGAGACGAGCCGGCAGCCACATGGGACGCCGGCACCACAGGGGCTTAACTACGCCACAGTGCCGGCCCCTAAGCTGTTTTGTGTCTGTTTTTAAGATTTATTTTATTTATTTGAAAGGCAGAGTTAGAGAGAGACAGACAGAGGCATAGAGAGGAAAACAGAAACATAGAGACAGAGAGAGACAAAAACAGAAATCTTCCATCTGCTTGTTCTCCAAATGGCCGCAATAGCTAGGGCTGGGCCAGGCCAAAGCCAGGAACCAGGAGCTTCATCCAGGGTCCCACATGGGTGCAGGGGCCTAAACACTTGGGCCATGATCTGCTGCTTTCCCAGGCACATTAGCAGGCAGCTGGATCAGAAACAGCAGCTGGGCCAGCGTCCGTATGGGTGCTGGCATTGTAGGTGGCAGCTTAACCCGTTATGTCACAGCGCCAGCCCCCTAAGCGGCTTCTCAAAGACAGGAGGTGACGGAGCGGTCACTGCAGCACAGCAGATTAAGCTGCTCCTCGGGACACCTGCACCCATGTCACAGTGCTGGTTCAAGTCCTGGCCACTTCACTCCTGCACCAGCTTCCCACTAACGCATCCTGGGAGGCAGAAAATGATGGTCCAAGTGCTCAGGCCCCGGGCACCGACACGGGAGACCAGAGTGGAGTTCCGGGCTCCCGGTTTCAGCCTGGCCCAGAGGAGTAAGCCAGTGGACGGAAGGTCTATCACATCTCTCTCTCTCTGCCTTTCAAGTAGATAAAAATTTTTTTTTTTTTTGACGGGCAGAGTGGACAGTGAGAGAGAGAGACAGAGAGAAAGGTCTTCCTTTGCCGTTGGTTCACCCTCCAATGGCCGCCGCTGCCGGCACGCTGCGGCCGGCACACCATGCTGATCCGATGGCAGGAGCCAGGTACTTACGCTGGTCTCCCATGGGGTGCAGGGCCCAAGCACTTGGGCCATCCTCCACTGCACTCCCGGGCCACAGCAGAGAGTTGACCTGGAAGAGGGGCAACCGGGACAGAATCCGGCGCCCCAACCGGGACTAGAACCCGGTGTGCCGGCGCCGCAAGGCGGAGGATTAGCCTAGTGAGCCGCGGCGCCAGCCCAAAAATATTTCTAAAAATTAGGAAAAAAACACGACAGTACACGGCACTACCCAAATGCCCAGCAAAGGCCAATTAGATAAGCAGGGTGTGGTTCCTGCGTGCGCTAGAATGTTCTTCAGTGGGGAAAGGAGTGAAGCGCAGGCCCACGCCGCAGCGTGGGGAAGCCTTGAAGTCAGGAGGCTGAGTGGGCAGAGCTGGACACAAAAGGCCCCTCCTGTGTGACCCCACTGACCCCAAACGCCTGGGGCCGGCAAACGCACAGAGGTGGAACAGGGCCACAGGGGACAGGAGGCCCAGCAGAGATGGCAGTGAGGGTCACTGGGTTTGGGCTTTGTTTTAGGGGTGATGGAATTGTTCTAGACGCGAGGTGGCTCTGAATCCATGCCAAGCTCTGAACTGCACTGCGTGTGGACAGATCTCAGCGCAGCTGCTGGTCAGGAAAACCCTGCAGACGCTCGAGTCTCAGCTGAGCGAGCTTTGCCCTGACATCCCTGGAACCACAGTCTGCTTACAGCCCCTCCCGCCCACGTGGGGACATCTGCCCCCGCCAGGTTGCTCTCACACTCATCTGGTCCCAACTCCTGTGCTGGGGCTGACCCTGCTGCTGGAGCCCCCAGGAGAGGGGCTGGACTCCCCAAGGCTGCTCCGATGCGTGGCCAGCCCAGGCCGGGCCCCAGGGACTTGGGGCTTACCTCCGGGCGAGGGCTCGGGCCTCTGTGGCCAGAAGGCTCCAGTTGGTGGGCTGGCTGGGCCCCTCCTGGGGAATCACCTTTAGAGAAAAAGGAGGGAGAGGACACCTGGCTAACACCGGGCAGAGGCAGACGGCACCAGTGGTTGTGTCCTCGCCCAGGGCCGGCCACAGAGTCCACACCCAGCGGGCAGAGGCCCGACACGAGGGGATCCCGCAGCCACCGCCCCCCGCCCCAGACCACACAGCCACCGTCTCTGCGGCCGCGGCTCACACTGGAGCGGCAGAGCGGGCGCTGTGCGATCCCCATCTTGGAGAGAAAGCCGAGCCTCCCCAGACGGGGCAGGTGTGCCCAGGTCACCAGATCAACAGCAAGGCAGGGGCTGGGACCCACACCAGGCTCAGAGGGAGGGAGTGCCCGGGGGTACCAGAGATGTGAGAACGGAGGCCGCGTGGGCAATCTCCTCGTGCGAGGATCCCAGGACCGCCTCCAGGTCGGCCAGCTGGACGCAGGGCTTCCGGGCTCCATCCTGGCCACAGCGCGCGCTTCCGCTCAGCACCCGCAGCCGCGCCTGGGCGGCCTTCACAGCTCCCTTGAGGCCAACCATCTGCTCCAGGAAGGCCTCCTGGGCCCCTGCAGGAAGCCCCCAGCCCAGAGGTCACACAGCAGTGACGCATTCACACCAACACCCTCCTCCCCCAACCCCCAGGGCCTCCATCCGTGCCTCCTCTCCCCTCGGGCATAGCCGAATCCCCTCACTAGCTCTGAGCACCCACCGTGAGTCCCAGGGGCAAAGTCTGCCCATCTTACGGATGCCAAAGCCGAGGCCCAGAGGAGGTAAATCATGACCCAAGCTGTCTGAGCCAAGACAGGCCACTCCGGCATCGGGGACAGCAGTGACCCTCTGCCACCAGTCAGCTCTGCAAGTCACCGCGTGGCTCAGGTGGGGTCGTTTTAAGATGTGGCATCTGGCAGCTCCCTCTTTCCACTGCCAGTCCTGCCAACAGGTGCACAGCTCACCCACCACTGCTGCTCGTGGACACGGCATTACACACGCTAATCCACTCACTTGCAGCGCTCCCTAAATTTCCACGCTCCCCATCGCTTTAGGGACAGTTTCCTTTTCTCTAACTGAGGCTACGGCAGTGAACAAGACGGCGGAGAATCAGAAGATCTCCACCTCTTCAGCACCTGGGACAGTGCCCAACACTGACTTGGGGGTGAGCGAAGACATGAACAGACCCAGCTTACAGGCGGGGAGAGCAGCCGTGGGCCCGACACACAGCAGAGGCGGTCCAGGGGATGACATGTGACCAGACCAAAGGTTCCCTGGGGGCGGATGACCAGCCAGCCCCCTTCACCCGCCTCCTGCTCTCCCCGCACCTTGCAGCAAGGGGCCCCTCTGGTAGACGTCCCCTCGTGGCGACTCTCCCTGCAGAATGTCCAGCGGCCCCCAGGGACTGCCGCAGTCAGACTCCTGCAGCCACCCCTCCATCAAGGTCAGCCTGGCCTTCAGCGTGGCCGCCTGCAGGGGCACAGGGAAAGATGGGCGTGTGTGAGGCTGTGGATGTCTCCTGGGCTTCTTCCTGGCCTGCCCTCCAATCCTGCCCTGGGCCTTGAGGTCAAGGGCACACCCCAGCGCTGAGAACCAAGCCTGGGCCCCCCACCCCGAGCCATCCCTTCCCTTCTCACACCCACAGCACCCACAAAGCCACACTTCTGTGCCCCTGCGTGGCACGGGGGGCCGCCTCCCCCAGGCCTGTCCCCTTAACCATGCCAACGATATCTGCGTTTTCAGAGACGCATTCAGAGCCGGCCCTGGTGCGAGTGCTTGAGTGCTGGCCACGTCCCCATTCGACGCACCTGTGAGACAGGGCCACGGGTCCGAGCCCGGACCTGGATTCCACAGCCCTCAGTGAATGCCCTGAAAACCAGAAGGCTGTCTATCCCAGGGCCAAACCTGACGGGAACTCATTTGGAAGCAAAACCGCCCTGGAAAAGGCTACTCGTAACCTTTCCGGACCCACGTGGCACTCGCCCCCATCTGTTCCCTGCAGCCGGCACACGGCCCTGTGCCCACACAGCTGCTCCACTGGTTTCCAGGAAGGGCGTGTAGGCCTGGACTTCTTCCGATTTGGAGCAGGAGGGGGACCTTGAGGCTTCCCAAGGCTGCCTCCTGCCTGGGGCCTGGGGGAGAGGAAGCCCCCCTGGGGAACCCCAGGGCCTGAACTCCTGGCCCCAGCGCCACCCCGTCTCCCTGCTCAGAACTCAACCCGCAGCCCTGCGTGGGCATCACACTTCCTCCCGCTCTCTTCCCAGAGGAGGTGGAACCAGGACAAATGTGAGACCTCGGCCCACAGGGAGAAGAGCCACCTTCCTCCTGTCCACCCTGAGCAGGGGAAGGCAGGGGTGAGGGCTGGGCCAGGCTCGGCACGAGGAGAAGGCGGCTGGTGGGCACTGTGGGTGAGGACAGCCCCCAGGGCCTGGCACGGAGCTGGCACTCACAGGGGCCACAGGCGGGCTCACCTCGTCCTGCACCAGGCCGTAGCAGGATGGGCACTCCTGGCACTGGGTGCCGTCAGCCGTGAGGAAGAAGTTGTCGCGACAGCGGTCACACTTGTAGCCCACGAAGCCAGGTCTGCAAGTGCACGTGCTGTTCTCGTGGCACTGGGCCGAGACGGCACCCAGCGGCGAGCACCTGCAGGCTGGAGGGGTTGGCAGCACGGGTGCTGGGTGCCCTGATGGTCGCCCCTGCACCCTCACCCCTGCAGCTCCCAGAAACCCCCGAGGCAGCCTCAGGTGCACGTTCCTGGGCCCTTCCCCGGAGGGTGTGATCGGAGGGTCGGAGGGGCTGGCTGAGGCTGATCGGTTTAAATGTCCCTGGGATCTGAGGACCAGCCGGGTACAGGAGCCGCCAACTCAGCCCAAACACACAGGCGCAGAAACTGAGGCCCAGAGGGTGGCCTGGTGATCCCGGGCACACCAGAAGGAATCCAGCAGTGGCACCTGGGACGGCGTTCCCAGCTTCCCCTACAGGGCTGGGGAACCTTTTGTCTGCCAAGGGCCGTTTGGATATTTATGACATCATTTGCTGGCCTTACAAAATTATCAACTTAAAAACCAGCCCACTAGAGATTTATCGAATTCCGAGTCCCCGCCTTCGACTGCCGTGGCAGAGCCAGACCAAGTGATTTCCCCAGCCTCCCACAGCAGCCCCACCTGGCTCCACACCTCCACAGCCTCGCTCCCGGGACCCGCCCTTTGTCTGGCCACGCCCTCTCCCCAGCTACCAGCTTTCCCATTGGATGTAGACCTCAGGCCCCACCTCCAGCCAGCAGAGCACCCCAACTCCTTACCACGGCAGCCCTTGATGGAGAAGCCGAAGAAACCCAGTTGGCATCTGTCGCAGGCCAGGCCTGTGACGCCCGGGCGGCAGGGGCACTGCCCAGTCTCTGGATGGCACTGGTCTTCCTGGGAGCCCAGCGGGTGGCATTTGCAGCTACAACAGGGGGAGGAACCAGGTGTGGGGTAAACTCCTGTGCCAGCTGCGGCTGGCCTGTGCAGACCAGGCTGCCCCACGCCACGCAAGGTGAGCGGCTTCCGTAAGCTGGGCTCTGGGAAGCACGAGAGGCCCAGGATGCTAGCTAAGTAGTAAAGGGGGAAAAGACCATGGGGACATGCATGCTGGAGGACTCTGCCCCTCCGTTGGGAGTCCCCATGCAATTAGCAGAGTGAAGGCTCTGAGGAGGAGCCGGCGCTGTGGCGTAGTGGGCTAATCCTCCACCTGCAGTGCCGGCATCCCATATGGGCACCGGTTCGAGTCCTGGCTGCTCCACTTCTGATCCAGCTCTCTCCTGTGGCCTGAGAAAGCAGTGGAGGATGGCCCAAGTGCTTGGGCCCCTGCATCTGCATGGGAGACCTGGAAGAAACTATTGGCCCTTGGCTTTGGAGCAGCCCAGCTCCGGCCGTTGCAGCCATTTAGGGGGTGAACCAGGGGATGGAAGACCTCTCTCTCTGTCTCTCCCTCTGTCTGTAATTCTGCCTCTCAAATCAATAAAATCTTAAAAAAAAAAAAAAAAAAAGCCTCTGATGAGCCCTGCAGGCAGAAGCCTCCTGGCCTTACTCAGCTCTCCCTGGGGTCTCCACTGTCTGCCAAGATGCCTGCCTACAGGGCTGCCATGGCCAGAGCGGACACCAGTGACCGGCGGCCCCAGGGAGAGGAGCAGCGTCCACGTCACCTCCCTCAGGGCTGTTCCTGGCCTGCGGCCCGGGCTGCCGGGGCCCTGAGTCCGACGCCAAGGGCCCGTCCCTTTGTCCCCCTTGGCGAAGGGCACAGAGGACGTGGGATGACACACTCCAAACCAGGCCCCTCCCTGGAGGCTCTGCCGCAGCCCTGCCCCACCCACCTCTGGCAGCCGCTCCCGGGCTGGAGGCCGTAGAAGCCGGGGAGGCAGCGGCTGCAGTCTCGTCCAGACACGTGAGGCAGGCAGGGGCACTGGCCGGTCACGGGGTCGCAGGGCGTCCGCGTGCTGACTGAGCCCCCTGGGTTGCAGCTGCAGGCTGGGGTGGGAGTAGAAAAGAGTGTGGGGGGGTGGTGGCGAAGCAGACCGTCCACTCAGTCTCTAGGTACCCGGTAGAGGCTGAGCCGCTGGGGCAGCCCCCGGAGACGAATCGTTTTCAGCCCAGATTCCTAACCCCCGGCTGGCAAAAGGATCGGGGACCAGCTCAAGCCTCAGCTCATTCTTGACGTCCCTGGAGAGGCAGCCCGGGGCCGTGGGGCAGCACGGAAGGTCAGAGACTGCCGGGGTCACCGGCAGGGCCCCGAGTCACGTGACCCCACTAGCCTGTCCGTCCCGAGGGCGGAGTCTCACCCTCCGCCAGGGCTGTGCTTCTCCAAGGGGCTGTGTACAGCAGGAGGTGGGGGCTGGTGTGTGGTGCAGAGGGGGAGGCCTCTGTCTACAACGCTGTAGCCCCTGTCAGGGTGCGGGTTCCAGGCCGGCTGCTCTACTTCCCGTCCAGCTCCCTGCTAACGCACCCAGGAAGGCAGCAGAGGACGCACCAAGTGCTTGGGCCCCTGCACCCACATGGGAGACCAGGATGGAGCTCCTGGCTCCTGGCTTCAGCCTGGCACAGCCCGGCTGTTGCAGTCATTTGGGGAGTGAACCAGCCAAAGGAAGAGTCTCTGTGTCTCTCCTTCTCTCCCCATCACTCTGCCTTCCAAATAAACGCGTCTTAGGGGGAAAATGCTAGAGGTGAGCAGGGTGACCGTGGTGCTGTGTGGGAAGGGTTCTACAGAAAACCACTTGTGCTAAGTCTGAGTTCCTCCCCTGTGGGCCTTGGGGAGCCTTCCATGGGCTGCTGGGCACCGTGGTCCCCCGAGCGGGGGACAGAGGGCTGACAGCTAACCCAGACAGCAGGAAGGGGGTCACCAGGGGCAGGTCTTTGTTGGGACAGCCTATGTGTAGCTGCAGAGTGCGAGGTGAGGCCCAGAGACCAAAGCAGGGAGAGAATCCCAGTGCCAGAGCAGCGGAAAGGGGGCCTGGAGGAGAGGAGACCCTTGCACTTTCCAGACAAGGAGACAGAGAAGGGAGGGAACTCGCCCGAGCTGCACAGCCCCGTAGAGGGGCCACCCCGCTGGGTCCTGAGCCAGAGCACAGCTCGGGGGGTGGGTACTCACGCGTGCATCTGTCCGCGGGCCGGGGGGCCAGGGCGCTCCCGTAGAAGCCCTCCTGGCAGCGCTCACAGTGGTCGCCCGTCGTGTTGTGCAGGCAGCGCAGGCAGCGACCTGACAGCGGGTCACAGTTTCCTACGGCGTTGGGGTCCACGTTGCCGCTGCACTGGCACCGGCGGCAGGCCTGGGCGCGGCCAGAGCGCCCCAGCGGGTCCCCATAAAAGCCATCGGCACAGATCTCACAGCGCCGCCCTGTGTGTGCAGAGAACACGTAGGCGGAAGGCGAAGGGGACGTCCCCCAGTCCCCTAGCAGGCCAGGGCACGGGCTCCGGTCCTGGTCAGCCCTTGGCTGGGCTGTGTGGTCTCAGGCAAGTCACCGTGCCTCTCTCAACCCCGGCTCCTCGCTGGTAAGCCAGACACCGGTAGCCAGTCCATGGACGAATCTGCGTTGAGTACGGGGCCTGGCGCAGGGTGGGGGTGGGGGTGGGGGTGGGGCGCGGTAGGGGCTGTCATCAGCCTTTATCCTCATCACTGTCAGCTTCACCATCCTCATCGGCACCTGGTCACACCCTCCCCACCTCCACCAGCATCACCCTCATCACCACACCGCCTTCAGCAATCATCATCCTCGCTATCTTGACCACCCCACCCCCCTCCTCACCTTGATCATCTTCCCGCCACCACCACCACGGCCTTGGTCACTCTGCCCCATCACTCCCGTCACCTCCCCCCTCGCTGGGGCCCCTTTGCCTCCTCTGCCCCGCCCCCAGCTCTGGGTCGCTCATCTCAGACTCCTGCCCTCACCTCCCGGCCCTCGGGTCATAGCGAGCCTTGGAGGAGGAGGTGGACGCGGCGGCTCTCAGAGGTCTGCTCTGGACACAGGTAGGGCTCAGAAGAACACGCCTGTACCGCGTGCTCCACACCGGGTCACAACCCCTGCAGGCACACCCATCTCCCTCCGTCTATACCCATGAAACGGGTCCCTGGGGGGAGCCGTGCCCCTCTGGGGAGCTGTCCTGCTCGCCTGCAGCTGTTCGGCCCTCCTGATGTCCCAACGCTGCTTCCACTGTCACAACTGGCGTGGACTCACGGATTTTAACACCTGTGTCGTCACGAAAAACAGGTGCGGGCCCCCTGCGCCCGTCACACCCAGCAGTGCAGCTGAGAGCCAGTTAACCGATCAAAGGGCCGAATCTAGGGTGGAATGTCGGGGAACCCTGATGACATCAAGCTCGTGGAGACGACCCAGACGCAAGCGGACAAATAGCGTGTCTGAGCGAGACGCCCGTAACGGCCCCAGAGAGACGGAGAGCACCGAGCAGTCACCGAGACCCAGAGGGAAGAGGGGCTGCTGTTCACGCCGACCTCCTGGGGGCTGAGCTTGTGGTGGTGCAAGGTCCGGCGGGCGGATAGGGCTGACGACCGCACACTGGGAACACTGGACACTGACTTACACGCTGAGCCGGGCCGCATGAACCACACACCGGGCTGGCGGCGCAGCTATGACGGCCGGTTTTAGGTTGTATGTTACATCACAATAAAATATTAACAATGTAACATATGAAGGCCATCGGATTGTACATTTTAAATGATGAAATGCTGGGCACGTGAATTTCTCCAAAAGCTGCTAAGAAAAAGCCCGAAGCCTGGGAAGGCCCGGGATCTGGAAGCAGGAGTGAGGACTGGGAGAGGCCTGGCGCATGTGTGTACATGGGGTGTGTGTGTGTGTATGTGTGTGTACAGGTGTGTGTACATGTGGGGTGTGTACATGTGTGGTGTCTGTGTGTGGTGTGGTATGTATGGATTGTATATGGTGTGTGTATGGTGTGCGGGGTGTATATGTGTGTGTGTGTATGGTGATGTGTGTATATGGTAAACAGTGTGTGTGGTGTGTATGTATATGTGTATATGGTGTGGTTGTGTGTGTGGTATGCGTGTGGGGTATGTGTGTATAGTATGTGTGATATACAGTGTGTATGGTGTGTGTATGCATGTGTGTTTATGGTGTGGTGTGTGTGGTATATGGAGTGTGTGGTGTGCATGTATATGTGCTTTGTATGTATAAGTGTGTGGTGTGCATGTATATGTGTATGTGGTATGTACGTATAAGTATGTATAAGTGTGTATGGTGCATGTATATGTGTGCATGCATATATGTGTGTATATTGTGTGGTGTGTATATGTGTGTGGTATGTATGTATAACTGTATGGTGCGTGTATACGTGTACATGCATATGTGTATATGGTGTGGTGTGTGGTGTGTGTATGTGTATATGTGTGTATGGTGTGTATGTATGCATGTGTGTATATGGTGTGGTGTGTGTATGGTGTGTGTGGTGTGTGTATGTGTATATGTGTGTATGGTGTGTGTGTGTATGTACGCATATGTGTATATGGTGTGGTGTGTGTGTGTGTGGTGTGTGTGCTGTGTGTATGTGTATATGTGTGTATGGTGTGTGTGTACGTATGCATATGTGTATATGGTGTGGTGTGTGTATGGTGTGTGTGTTGTGTGTATGTGTATATGTGTGTATGGTGTGTGTGGTGTGTATATGGTGTGGTGTGTGTATGGTGTGTGTGTTGTGTGTATGTGTATATGTGTGTATGGTGTGGTGTGTGTGTGGTGTGTGTATGTGTATATGTGTGTATGGTGTGTGTGTACATATGCATGTGTGTATATGGTGTGGTGTGTGTATGTGTATATGTGTGTATGGTGTGTGTGTATGTACGCATATGCGTATATGGTGTGGTGTATGTGTGGTGTGTGTATGTGTATATGTGTGTATGGTGCATGTATACGTGTACATGCATATGTGTATATGGTGTGGTGTGTGTGTGGTGTGTGTATGTGTATATGTGTGTATGGTGTGTATGTATGCATATGTGTATATGGTGTGGTGTGTGTATGGTGTGTGTGCTGTGTGTATGTGTATATGTGTATATGGTGTGGTGTGTGTGCTGTGTGTATGTGTATATGTGTGTATGGTGTGTATGTGTGCATGCATGTGTGTATATGGTGTGGTGTATGGTGTGTGTATGTGTATATGTGTGTATGGTGTGTATGTATGCATATGTGTATATGGTGTGGTGTGTGTGCTGTGTGTATGTGTATATGTGTGTATGGTGTGTGTGTATGTATGCATGTGTGTATATGGTGTGGTATATGTGTGTATGTGTGTGTGGTGTGTATGTATGCATATGTGTATATGGTGTGGTGTGTGTGCTGTGTGTATGTGTATATGTGTGTATGGTGTGTGTGTATGTATGCATGTGTGTATATGGTGTGGTATATGTGTGTATGTGTGTGTGGTGTGTGTGTATGCATATGTGTATATGGTGTGGTGTGTGTATGGTGTGTGGTGTGTGTATGTGTATGTGTGTGTATGGTGCGTGTATACGTGTGCATGCATGTGTGTATATGGTGTGGTGTGTGTATAGTGTGTGTGCTGTGTATGTGTATATGTGTGTATGGTGCGTGTATACGTGTGCATGCATGTGTGTATATGGTGTGGTATATGTGTGTGTATAGTGTGTGTGCTACGTGCACACCTGACTTCTGCCTCACATTGCACCTGACCTTAAAAGCTGCGAGCTGCACCGAGGTGGCCTGTGAATTGATTGATTCGCCTGCCTGGGAAGATTCGTTACGCGCCAGACACCCTGCACGAGGCTTCCCCCTCAGCCGCGGGTCAGAATCTCCCGTGACCTGATGAGTGGCAGCCCTAGGTTCCATCGCGGAGCAGCCGGGACCCACGGGGGCATTTTCGAAGCTCGCGGTGCCCAGCGGCCCAAGTTCGGCAGGTGACCCACAGCAGCCGGGGGCCCTGACTCTGGGTCGTTGCCCTCTAAGCCGGGCTCTTGCCCATCTGCCACAGACCCAGGCCCCACCCCTGTGGGAGGCCAGGGCAGAGGCGGGCGCGCTGGGCGCTGGTCTGCCCGAGCCACTCACCTCTCTGGCCTGGGGGGCAGTGGGTACACACCACCTCCCCGCTCTCTGGGACGGTCGTGCACGCCGACTGGCCAGGGCACGGACAGGGCTGGCAGTCGTCGGCTTGGCCCCGGAAAGGGTTGCCATAGAAACCCGGCAAGCAGCGCTCACAGGACGGGCCCTCGGTGTGGTGGCCACACAGGCAGATCCCTGGGGGGTGGGGGGAGACAAGCACCTGCTTACCACCTGCCGAGCTGGCTCCCCACCCGGGAGACAGCAGGCACACTGGCCGCAGAAGTCTCAGAGCACGTCCCAGCTGCCCGGGCACTGGGAAGCCCTCTGGGGTGGGGGCAGCACGGTCCAGGGACGAAGGGTCTGGGCTTGGAGCCAGCCCACGCTGGGCTCATGTCCTCCACTGAGGACCCGCATGAACCTGGGCCAATCACCTGCCACTCCCACCCTCGAGCGCCCACCAGCAAGACAGGAATAACAACGGCACTGACAATGAGGGCTCTATCAGGACTCAAGGCGCCTCGCACTCGCCCTGGTGCCCAGTTATTATTACTGCCGTCGCTGTTGTTCCGTTTCCCCAGGTGACACAGCCAGCTCGTGCTCCCGACCTGCTTTTCTCTCCCCCCGCTCAGAGCCTGGGGTGCTTGGGAGGGAGACCCTGGCACCAGGGCCTGAGGGTGAGGCCGGGCCGAGGAGGGGTTCATGAGACCAGCACTCCGGGGGCCCCCAGCAGCACCCAGCAGGGCTGAGGTGAGCAGGGAGGAAGGGTGGGGAGCCAAGGGCAGACAAGCAGGGCAGGAGTGGCGGCCGAGAGGGCTCATGGCTCCTTGGGGTCTGCGAGACGGTGGCCCACTGCACAATGAGGACTTCGCCGGAAGTGGCGGGGGGGGCCGGGGGCTCTGCGGGGATGACAGGTTGGGCTCCTTCCTCACCAGGGGACTTCTGGACCGCTATGTGGGGAGGTTGAGGAGGTCTTATCTGGGCTGGATTAGTGATGTCTGCCATGGACACCCCATGTATTGCATGAACCAGAGATCCCACCTGCTCCAGGCTTCCTGGTGTGGGAGTGGAGGGAGGCTTCTGTCCAGCACCCCTTCTAGCACCTGGCTGTGTGACCTTGAGCCAGGCCTCTCTACAGGTGAGGAGGACAGCTGGTGGGAGGTGCAGCTCTGCCACCTACTGGCTGTGCCGAGGCCCTGCACCTTAGCTCCCCAGCCGTTCAAATGGGACAGCAAAGGTCCCGGGGCGTCAGTAACTGCTCAGCCACGGGAGAACCCAAGGGCGCTGTTTTCCCATTCCCAGCAGTCCTGGAAAGGAGGCACTGCCGTGACCTGCACCTCCCAGGTGGAGCCGCTCGGCTCTCCCACCCAGCAGGCTGCCTGGGCCTCTCGGGACACACACCTCTCTCATCTAGAGGAGGACATGGGCTCAGGCAGGGAAGTGACCCTGCCGAAGCCACAAGCCACTGAGAGGTGAAGGGTGGCAGGCGTGTGGTCTGGGTCAACACCTTTGTGCCACTGTCACCTGTGTGGCCCTCCCGAGAGCCCGCGTGCTGCCTCCTGCCAGGTTTCGCCTCCGTCTGTCTTTCCAGCATCCCTGCCCGGCAGGGTCCCCTCGGATCTTTCCGTGGTCCTCACTGGGAGGACGTGGCTCAGTGCAGACAGGAAGCCACCTGGGCGGGCGGCCTGCCGAGCTCCCTGGCACAGAGCCTCGTGCTTAAATCCATCCCCGTTACTGCTTTTACCAGAGCACGAGCCGGCCAGGCAGCAGCGTGAGGACAGCCGGCACCTGCCCGCCCACAGCCTGGCTAGGCGCCCAGTGCCGGGGCCAGGCGACCCTGGGCAGACTGGCTCTCTGCTTCCTGTGCTGGGCCTTAGGATGCGGCGTCAGCAGACTCACCTGTGTCGGGGTCACAGGGGCCGTGCTGGTTACAGGTGCAGGGGACACAGCTGGCGTAGGGACCACCTCGTGGAGTCTCCCTCTTGTAGCCTGGGGCACAGGATTCACAGAACTGGCCTGTGTACCCCTGAGGACACGTGCAAGTCTCCACCCAGGAGGCTGCAGGGAAGGGCCCGCGCTGGGGCTGGGCTGATGTGAGCCGGACCTCAGCCAGGAGCACCTGGCCTGCACAGGGGGAAAGAGAGGGAAACAAAGCAGCGGCAGTGTAAGGACCAAGTATCTTTTAAAAAAATTCATTTGTTCCAGAAAGGGAGAGAGAGACAAAGAGATCTTCCATACACTGGTTTGCTCCCCAAATGGAATTAATGGCCAGGGCTGGGCCAGGCCAAAATCAGGAGCCAGGAGCTCCATCCAGGTCTCCTATGTGGGTGGCAGGGGACTAAACACCTGGGCCATCCTCCACTGCGTCCCCCAGGCCACCAGCAGGGAGCTGGATCGGAAGTGGAGCAGCCGGGACATGAACTGGCAACCATATAGGATGCTGGCGTCACAGGCGGTGGTTTTACCAGCTTTCCCACAATGCCAGCCCTGAATATCAATGTTTTTAAAAGTCAAATTAAGGGACCAGTGTTGTTAACACACAGCCTGCAAAAGTGGAGCAGCCGGGTCTCGAACTGGTGCCCAAGTGGGATGCCGGAGCTACAGGCAATGGCTTTACCTGCTATACCACAGCCCCAGCCCCTTCGTATTTTAAAACTGTGTGGAGTGGGTTATCACCAGGCACTGCACCAGGAGCACAGCACAGAGCCAGCCTGGGGCAGCCTGTGCCAGTACTGACCAGAGAGCCGGGGGTGTGGAGCTGTGACATTGGCCTGGATGCGCAGAGCGGTCAGGTTGGCCAAGAGCCGCTGGAAGTGGAAGGCGGGCAGCGGAGGGTGCGCGTCCTCGGAAGTCTCCTGTAACCTGGAGGAGAAGCAGGCGACGCAAGAAAAACCTGAGCCGGGACAGCGGTGCCGGAGCCCGGGACCCCACCGCAGCCCCCAGACCACAGAGAGGGGTCTGGCCGTGCCCCGCCCTCGGGGACCACCCCGACTCCCACCGCTCAGGACAGGGGAGGACACTCACAGGAACCTGATCTGTGCCTCCCCAGGCTGCCCAGCGTCCAGGGAGGGCCTCAGAGACAAGGCCAGGCCCGCCCCTTCAAGCCTCAGCTGCACGACGGGTGGGGGGGCGCCCCCGGGGGACACGTGCAAGGTCAGTGTGAGGGGCTGCCCGTAGCTGAGCCGCTGGTCTCCCAGGAATTGCCCTGCGGGGGAGAGGAGGCTTGCTCAGGGCTCGATTCTATTGGCCATCAGACATCGAAGCAAGACAAAACCACAGCACGTGGGACATCCAGACAGCGCGGGTGCCCAGCCCGGCCTCCCCAGCCCGGCCTGGCGTCACGGGCGTGAGACCCGCGGGGTCACATGGGGCCCCTCGGCTCTCGACTTGATGCTCTGCCGGCCCAGTCTCAGGCTCTCCATCATTGTGTCCTGGAGCTGGGATTTTGTGGGTGACACTTGCCAGGTTGCGGGGTCCATACGTGAGTGGAAGAAACACATGGGGGGTGGGGGTTTGTGTGACCACAGGGCACGGAAGTCCCGTGGCCGCCGTGTGCGGACGCTCAGCGAGACCCACGGAGAACTGGAGGTGCACGAGCCACTTCCACGGTGGGGGGAGCAGAGCGGCTGGCTGGCCCCAGCCAGGCTTTTCCTGCAAATCAGAACTTGCTTCCAGCGCGGGGAGAAGGCCATGGCGACCTGAGAAAGGGGAATGACCCAGGGGCCCCTTCCGGCCCCGCTTCCTCCTGTCATTTCCCTGGCCGGGGTGAACACCCCAGAACTCGAAATGCTACAAAACCTGAATTTTCTGAGTTACCGACAAGACACCAGGAGTGGAAAAATTCACACCCTGAAACTTGGTTTCATGCAGAAAGTTATTACAAACCCTTGCCTATAGGTGGCGTCTGTGTCCCACATCCGAGTGCCAGGGTGGGATGCCAGGCCCCGGCTCCTGACCCCAGCTTTCGGACGGCAGAGGTCATGGCTCAAGTGACCGGGTCCCCGCCACCCATGTGGGAGACCTGGAGGGATTTCCCAGCTCCTGGCTTTGGCTCAGCCCCCAGCTCTGGCCAAAGCGGGCATCCGAGGAGTGGAGCCAGGGGGATGGGAGCTCTCTGCATGTTTTTATGTTTCTCAAACAATAAATAAAAATTTAAATCTGTTCAAATGGCATAAAATTACCTTCAGGCTATGTTTCTGAGGAACATACGAAACACAGCTGAATTTCTGTTTAGACTTGGATCGGATCCCCAGGACATCTCTAAGGAGCGTGCAAATATTTCTAAGTCTAGAAAAATTCAGAATCCCGAACACTTCTGCCCCAGCATTTTGGGTACGGGTGACCGGGTCTGTGTTCGCTGACCATTCAGGCCAGAAATCGGGGCTGGTGAGGCCACCACGGCCCCCTTGTCCCACGGGCCTTGTGCCCGGAGGCGGGCAGGGGTGGGACGCGGCCCCATGAGTAGGAGGTGTGCAGATGAAGACATGAACAAGCCCCTGTGCTCGCTCTGCGCTGCGCGGTGCCGCTGCCGTGCTGATGAGAACAAAATGCACATTTGTGTTTGAGCTGGCAAAAGTCATTTCTGCGATCCCCCCATCCGAGCAAAATACTCCGATATGTGCCTCGGTATGAAAACGAAATGCTCGTCATTTAAAATTCTAATTTTTCCTTACCTAGAATGACATCAAATATCAATTAAAAAAACCCACCAAGCCTAACTTGTACTCAAACTGGGGCTTGGGGAGGGACTCAAACAAGACACCCACACTCTGCCTGCGCCCCCAGAGTACTCACCAGCGTCAGCACACTCGCTGGCACGGAGACGACTGGGCAGACCCTGGGCTATTCCCTACAGCCTCCCGCACCTGAACCCCACCCCGCCCCCGTGCCCCTGCGACAACGCTCAGTGGGCACCGACACCCCCGTTCCCCCAGCTTAGGGTCCACAGGCCTCTGCAGCCTGCGCACAGAATCCTGCCAGTGCACCTGCTGTGGGGAGGGCGTGAGCCCCTCTAACTCCGGGAGCCCTCATCACCCCTCCTGTGAGCAGCAGGGGCGAAGCCCGACTCCCCTGCCTGCCCTCACCTCATGGCTGCCCAGAGAGGGGCCAGACAGGCTGGTCAATACCCCCCAAATCTGGTCACAGCAGAGCCAAGACGGCCCAGGCTCCCAGTTCAGGGTCTGGGAGACCAGAGTGCCCCTAACTGGGGAGAGGGCTCAGGGTAAAGGAGAACATCCCTCCTTCTGCAGGAATCCCAGGGCCCTGGCAGGGGCTGGCGGGAAACACACAGGGGCCACCTGGGGCCTCACAGTGGCCATGGGCTCTGGGACACCTGCTCCTGCCCAGAGGGCCAGGGGTGACGGCAGAGCAGAGGCACCCAGAGCCGTCCTCGTCCCAGCCCGGCAGCCTGTGACTACGGGACGTCACGGTGCAGGGGGACAGGAGGGGGAAGGCAGCCGGGGGAGGTTACCAAGGGTCAGCCAGCTGCACCCCCCACAACCACAAGGGCCCTGGGAAGACGGGACCCGGGGGATGGGACGGGAGAGACTCGGCCTCCGAGGAGTGAGAGGCCAGCGTGGGGACTGTCCCCGGAGCCTCCTCCACGGGCACAGGACCCTCCCACGCCTTGACCTCAGCCCGCGAGGCCCACGTCAGGCCGCTCACAGGAGCAGCTGCAGGGAGCCCCCCGGCGTCCGCCCTGCCCGGGCCAGCAGGTACCTGGTGCCATGAGCTCCTCCTCTTCTAGGCTCAGCAGGACGCCCTGCGGGCTCCATCGCGGAGGGCGCTCTGGGCCTCCCACGCGCCTGCTCCGCCAGCCCTCGGCTCCTGGACAGCGGGAACAGACACGCACCGGTCAGCTGAAGGCTCCGGGGGTGCCACAGGGCGACAGGTCCAGCAGGGCGCCCCAGCAGAGGGAAACTCCCAGCAGGCCCCTGCGGCAGGGCCCACCTGCCCTGTCGGTGGGCTTGGGAGGCCAGCATGAGGACACAGCCGAGACCCCCAGCACAGGGCGGGGGGCTTGGGATGGCAGGGCCACCCCTAATCACACTGGACTCCACCTGGGCCTCAGGGAACCTTCCCACCTGTGAGCCCAGCAGATCTGACCGTCCAGGTCCGTGTGTCACCCAGGCAGGCCGCAGGCCAGCAAGGGGCCGAGCCAGGCTGGGAACTGGGACCTGCAGGACCCCGAGTAGGTCGCCTAAGCTCTCCGAAGCCAGCTCCTCATCTGCAAAATGAGGGCAGCGAAGTGTTTATGGCCCAGCGAGCAGCTCTCGATGTCGATGTCGGCCTGGAGACCCCGTCCTAGGCCCTCTCCCAGGTCTGGAAGGCCACCCTGTCTTCCAGCAGACACTAAGGGGCCGTCTGCATTTTCTATTCTCTTTCTCAGGTGCAGCGTGGGAACTGGTTTCCCGCAAGCCAGACCCGAGAGCCACCTGCAACCATGAGACACCACGGCGTGCGTCTCAAAGTAGGCGCTGCGGAACGAATTTACGACGTCATAGGTTCACAACAGCGGTTTAAAAATGGCCTAACAACCGGTTGCCCCTCTTCCAGGCCAGCTCTCTGCTGTGGCCAGGGAGTGCAGTGGAGGATGGCCCAGGTGCTTGGGACCAGCTCCCCCATGGGAGACCAGGAAAAAGCACCTGGCTCCTTCCTTTTGTATCAGCACGGTGCGCCGGCCGTGGCGGCCATTGGAGGGTGAACCAACGGCAAAGGAAGACCTTTCTCTCTGTCTCTCTCTCTCACTGTCCACTCTGCCTGTCAAAAAAAAAAAAAATGGCCTAACAAGTATTCTCAGATCACTCAGCTCCCACCTCGGACACAGCACTGTCTGCATAAACAATCCACAAAATAAAAGCACTCTGGGGTCCTCCCAGGAGTATTGGGGGTGCAGAGACTAGGAGGCGTGAGGGCCGAGGGCAGCTGTGAGATAAGGGCGATGACGTCACTAAGCGCCAAGGCCAGGGCCTGGCTCAAGGCGAGAGCTGATCTCGGGTCCAGGAAACGTGCTCCTCGCAACCCGCGGTCCAGCCGTCCAGCCGTCCAGCGCGCACGCCTCCCATCCCGCTTTCTGCACGGCGTCCAGCAGAGGGCGCGCTGCTCCCGCATCTGGGGCGCTCCCCAGCCGGCACCGTGGGGCCCGCACGGCTCTGACTCAGCACAGGGCTCAGCACCGGGCTGCTCCCCCTCTCACAGGTGCGGCCGTGCCACCTGCCGCCAGGACTCGGCCAGAGGCCCGCACTGCTGGGAAGCGGACAGGCAAGGCACCCTCTGAGTTTTGTGCCTTCCAGCAAGGGACCCTCCTTATCCTGGGCCCCTTGACTCATCTGTAAAACGGGAGAGTTCCTGTCCAGTGAGTTTCCCTGCCTGCGAGGAGCTCAGCACAGCACCTGGTATACAGTAGGCAGTTGATAAATGTAGGCCACGAGACTGAGCCCGGATCTACAGCCTTTAGAGCCACTGAGGGAGACGGGTCTTAGGATGACTGCAAACTCCAGGCTCCAGGAGTGTCACACCTAGTCCCCCCACCCACACATCCACCGTCTCCCTAGTCAGGGAGGCAGCTGCGGGGGCATCTCTCTTACCCTGGCGGAAGTCGGACAGGATGTGGTGCACCTGGAACCCGGCGCTGGCCGCACACACCTTGGAGTGGCCGAAGCAGAAGCAGCTGCTGCAGCCGGCAGGGTTGTGGGGCTGCAGGTTAAACGTGCCGGGGCGGCATCTGCAAGGGAGGCGGGGCACGCACGTGAGGGCCACAGGAGCCACCAGGAGGGGGCCCCCGGGGAGCCCAGATCCTGGGTTACAGGAGAGCTGCAGAGACAGTACAGTGCGCCCGGATCCACTCCCCAGGTTCCCTCGATGCCCACGGGACACAAAGCAGACGTCGGTCCCCGGCACCTGACTCCAGGCTGCGCTGGGAGCCCTGCTGTCTGTCCCCGAGTGCCCACCAGGACATGGTGCTACACTCGGCCACGTCCATCTCCCACAGCCCCCGACGCCCTGGGCACTTTGCAGAACCGGTCTGGCATCTGTTAGAACGCTCTCGCGAGTGGAGGTTGGGGTTGGGGTTTAGGCGAGAAACACTCTGTGGTGAAGTCCCCCTCTCATCAATCACACGTCGGGGGCGGGGCGGGGGTCCCCGAAGCCAAGGTGACGCCTGTGGCCGTGGTAAGGTGTGGTCTGCCAGGGTCTCTCTGTGCACAGTCACCAGGTTCAAGGCCCTAGAAGGGAGTTCTTAAATCCAGCCCCCACACAAGACAGGAACGATGCTCCCCCTGCGAGGGGCGGGGGTCCCAAGACCTGTGCTTAACCCCTCACAGAACAGGACCGGGAGGGGAGGCAAACACCCCGCCCCTCCCCAGGCCCTGCCCAAGAAGCAGGGGTCTGCGGGCTCATCCCCGCCTCAGTGACAATCCTGCAGGCAGACAGCCCCCCCCCCCGCCCTGTTCACGGCAGGACGGACGCGCGGGGAGGGGAGGGGGTGTTTATTCTTGGGGTCGTAACTGCGTCCTGCTGTCCCCAATTTCGCTGCTCCAACTGTTCCAGCTTGGGGAGCCCTGTGGGGTCAGCACCGCGCCCTCGTGACCCGGCCCGGCCCTGCTCTGCTGGGGCTGCGTCTGCCGTGGCTGGCGAGCACTCCCTGGCTTTCTGGTGCTGCGGGATGTTCCGGGCTCATCTTGTCCGTCCCCTGCCCTGCCCTGGAAACAGCCCGACCTCCCGGCAGCTGCGGGACCGCAGGGGGACAAAGGCGAGTCCCAGGTACTGGGGAGACCCGGTGCACAGTCTGGTTTGTAGGAAGCCCAGCGACTCCGGACGAGAGCTCCACGCCAGCCCTCCTGGAGCCCAAGTGGGCACACAGAGGCTCCGCAGAAGGACCTGCCCAGTCCCCGGATGAGGAAGGCTCCCAGGTGGCTTGACCCCTGTGTTCTGCCTCCTCACGAGCAGGGAGGGACAAGTGTGATCGCACTCCACTAGCGATGTCTACATGGGCATGAAGTGGGAGGGGTGATCGCACTCCACTAGTGATGTCTGCCATGGGTGTGAAGTGGGAGGGGTGATCGCACTCCACCAGCGATGTCTACATGGGCATGAAGTGGGAGGGGTGATCGCACTCCACTAGTGATGTCTGCCATGGGTGTGAAGTGGGAGGGGTGATCGCACTCCACTAGTGATGTCTACATGGGCATGAAGTGGGAGGGGTGATCGCACTCCACTAGTGATGTCTGCCATGGGTGTGAAGTGGGAGGGGTGATCGCACTCCACTAGTGATGTCTGCCATGGGTGTGAAGTGGGAGGGGTGATCGCACTCCACTAGTGATGTCTGCCATGGGTGTGAAGTGGGGGTGGTGTGACTGCTCCATTAGTGGTCTGCCATGGGTGTGAAGTGGGGGTGGTGTGACTGCTCCATTAGTGATGTCTGCCATGGGTGTGAACTGCAGGTGGTGTGATGTGCTCCATTAGTGATGTCTGCATAGGTGTCAAGCGGGAGTGTGTGATCGCACTCCATTAGCGATGTCTGCATGGGTGTGAACTGCAGGTGGTGTGATGTGCTCCATTAGCGATGTCTGCATGGGTGTAAGTGGGGGTGTGTGTGATGTGCTCCATTAGTGATGTCTGCCATGGATGTGAAGTGGGGGTGTGTGAGAGAGCTTCATTAGTGATGTCTGCATGGGTGTGAACTGCAGGTGGTGTGATGTGCTCCATTAGCGATGTCTGCATGGGTGTCAAGTGGGGGTGTGACAGTGCTCCATTAGTGATGTCTGCCATGGGTGTGAAGCGGGGGTGTGACAGTGCCCCATTACTGAGAAAGGGGAGAGCTGTGGTACACATACCATGTCTTTGCTCAGATGGTCCCCCCATCCTTTCTGGCTAAGAAAGATGTATTTTCTTGACTTGGAGCCACCAGTGGTGGGGTGAACCCGCAGACAGTGCCGGAAGCCGTGGCGCAGCTTCCTGGGAGTGGACCCACGTGGGGTCCTGGGGAGGGGACTGTGGCCCCGATACCTCCAGCTCCACCCCCGGCGATCAGCTCACCCACCTGTCACACAGGCTGCCTTCCACATTCTCTTTGCAGGGGCAACGCCCACTGCGAGGGTCACAGGTGCCCAGGCTGCCAGCTGCATCGCAGGTGCAGGGTCTGGGAAGAGACAGGACGAGAGGGAACGCAAGCAGCAAGTTACTCCAGAGTGGGGGCGGCCGTCCTGGGTGGAAATCTCCCGAGGAGACCAGGAGGAGGCTGACCCGAGAGCCCACCCTCGCCTCGCTCTCCCCACCTTGCCCAGGGAGCTGCCTGCCCACCGCGGGCACAGAGCGCCCTCTGCTGGCCCAGGCTCCTCCACACACTGCCCCTTCCGCCCGCCACCCCGCAGTCTGATGAGCCCTGGTCCCGCCGTCCAGCGAGGAGGCAGACACCCAGGCGGCGCTGTGCTGCGACACGCGCAATGGGAGATGCACAAGAGGCCACGGCGGCACCAGGGGGCATCGGACACCACCAAAGCCAGGGCGCAGGGGACCTGCGGTGGGGGCACCTCTGCCACCGGGCCGGGGTGGGGGGGGGTGCTCCCGCTAGGTGGAAGGTACAGAGGCCCAGAGGCCAGGGAGGCCCCAGGGAGCTGCCTGTGTGTCCGTGCATCCTCGCTGGACGGCTGACCCGTGAGGGCGGCCCTGGGGAGGCAGCCAGCTCCCCATGGAATGGTCAGTTTTGTGCCCAAAACCACTGAATGTTTCGCAAGGAATCAGACTCCAACCCCACCCCGACACAACCCCACTGCCTGCGAGATGCAAGACTGTTGTTATTAACCAAAGCCAAATTCGTTTCACAGCGCTTCCTCTGAACTCGTGAGAGCTGTATTTTTTGGATGGTTGTGTATCCTCCCCGGCAAGAGGGCAACTGTGTCAGACCCTGCCTCTGCGGACCACGCCCTGGTCCGGCCCTGCCTGGCTCTTTCGCCCCAGCTGCCCCAGTGGGAGCCAGAGACTCGGGTCCACAACTCGGGCCCTCCCTGCTCAGCCTCCCCCGCACCAGCCCGTTGCACACCCCCAGCCCAGACGCCGGGAGCAGCCTTGCACGGGGCCCTGGAGTCTGCCTGGGCCCCCGCCCCTCCGTGGCCTCCTCCTGCTGCGGCCGCCTCCTATGTCACGGTGGTCCTCGGTTTCTCCCGAGGCCCAGCCGGGCTCCCCCTCTGCACACCCACCCGCCCTGCCCACAGGTGCCGAGCCTCAGCTTGCATTGGCCTCTGAGCCCTCGCCACACCCTTCCCTCTGCCTGGAACACTGTTCCCTCCCATTCCTCCCTTCTCTCCCTGCCGGCCTCACTCATCAGGTCTCCGTGCCTCCTCCAGGAAGCCCACCCTCGACCCTGAGACCCACCGGCCTTGCGGGGGACTCGGCACCCCCATCTCATAGTTGTGTTTATGCCTCTCCCTTCCGCAGGCCGTGGGAGCACCTGGTCCTCACCAGGATGGCGTGCGGGAGCAGCAGACGGGGAGGAGGGCGCACCAGCCACCGTCCCCTCCCTCCTGCTTCCCGTGGTCCAGCCCAGCACTGGCCACCCACACCCACTCCCTGCACCCCTCACCTGCAGCCTCCCTCGCTGAGCGAGTGGAACCCAGGCAGGCAGCGGTCGCACTTCCAGCCGGTCACGGTGGGTCTGCAGGTGCAGGAGCCCTCAGTATCACACTGGAGGCTCAGGGAGCCTGCGGGGGCAAGGGGACAGCGCTGTGGACGCTGGGACAGGGCAGGGCGGGGTGGGGGCAAGGGGACTGCGCTGTGGAGGCTGGG